CACCCCATGAAAAGCAGAGTGATGGAAACAACGCAATGTTAATGGGCCACACCAACATAGGCAAGCTGAGTTTTAAATAACATGTTTGTGCTGCTGTTTGCATGGAACTAATGAATATCAGGTTAAAATAGGGATCAGTGTGGTTTGGAGATATTTCWTGGGGGTTGGAAGACTTCTTTGGAATTAGAATAGGTGAAAATATTGATGCCACCACAAAACTTGAAGTGTAGATACAACATGGTGTTTGCATACCAAACTATTTCTTGACCAAGCCAATGACTTACGTTATACAACAACGTTATAGCCTTTGGCCATGAACTAGTCAAACACGTGGCCCCCAATTAAAACCACATCATATCAGTTTGTTTAAACTTATTATTTCAGAGCTTACAGCTGCCTGTCAAGGGAATGGATTTGACTTAGGTATTTCTCAATCTGGGCAGACTCAAAATCTTGAGATGTGGTGGTTTAAAGCCTTGGGGATATGAAAAAGTGGCTGTTGAGTTAACATATTAAAATGTCAGTCCTGGGGAATAAAACATTTTACGTTAGAGGTTGTTCTGTCAGGAATCTTTTTCAGAACTATAATTTGTGTTTGTCTCTTTAGACCACTTCAAGGCAATGTACATGCAGCAAGGCTTGATTGGGAAAGGCGGCTTTGGAGTCGTATATGCTGGTATAAGACGATCAGATGAATTGCCAGTAAGTATCACACACAATGTTTTCAGACATGAACTCTGGCAAATGACTGCACAATGGGGCCTGGGGTTCAGTGGGAAAGTCTCTGGAGCATTCAGATGAGGGGTGGTGCATGCATCGCCATCCCTCCCACTAACCAATGTGCTCATGTTCTGTCCTGTAGGTGGCAATAAAATACGTCAGGGCTTCAGCTATGGAGCAAATTCTATTGGTGAGTGACCTGATGTCTCAGCACCAACTGTTTAAGTCATTCTTTTCCTTTTTTGTTTTTCTTGTGTCTTTGTTGTTGACAAAAACACTTTTCTCCTTTAGACCGATAATGGGRCACAATCCTGGTACCCATTGGAGGTGAGCCTCATGCTTACGGCCACAGGCGGACCACAGTCTGTGGGAAAATCTCCAGCCGTGTCCTTACTAGACTGGTACCGTCTGGGCAAAGAGGTTATTATGGTGATGGAGAGACCAGAMCCCTGTGTGACCCTCAGGAAATTTCTAAAGCGCACTGGTCCCATGAAAAAGAAGCTGGCAAAGGTACTGAAATTTCTTGTGTGTGAGCGATYTCCCAGATTACTTCTGAAAATGTCATCCGATTCAGGGGAGAATTTTAGACTGCTATCACACCCACATTTCATTTGGTTCCAACCACATTTTGAATGTATTAACTATTTGGGTTTCACGCTCTTAGGTTGKAACTCTGGATTTATTCTTGGTTCAAAGGTTAAGAAAACAAATTGAACACAAATTCCTTTTCATCGTTGTTCTAGAGCTCACATGATATGTTCAAAAGCTCCTTGACAGCCTCTACATAGACCTTTAGYTCAGGTTGGTYTTAAATTGCTGTTTCCAGAATGAAGAGATGCCTTTGCACAAAATGGAAATTTGAACTCCAACAAATTCACAACACCTGGGCTCTGGTCAAAATACCTAGAGCAGCTACTACATAGACCGTTTTGGACAGTGCCACCTCAGAGTCCCTTCCTCACCTCTCTAACTCACGTGTCTCTTTATCTCTGTTTCAGGTCATAATGAAGCAGCTGGTGGATGCAGCCATTCATTTGCAAGCATACAAAGTTTTCCACCGAGATCTAAAACTAGAGAACATCTTGATTGAAACTGGTCCAGATGGCCTTCGAGTGCGGATTATCGACTTTGGGTGTGGCTGCTATTTGGAAGACAAACATTATACCTYGGTTTCTGGTATGACTGTTTCCTGGCTTCTGGTACTGCTTATCATTCGTCTGTTGATCTCTGGAGTGATGGTAAATTCATCATCCTTTGTGTTTTTCTCTGTCTCCTACTATCTTCCATATTGTAGGAACTCCTGAATATCTTCCTCCAGAGTTTTATATCCGTCATGAATACATGGGCCGCCCCACCACAGTCTGGCAGTTGGGGGCGATACTCTTCCAATTGCTGACTGGAAACAGGGAGTTCACCACCAGCAGCTTCCTCAGGAAGGACATCGAAATCTTGACGGAKTGGTCTCAAGGTAATGCTGGTGTCAGTAGATTACCTGAGTAATCCTCTGTGTTATTGTATTCCTGTCCATCGCTGTACAATCTATACTCATCATTTCTTTGTCGTMTGTCCTCTCTTCTCAGACTGCCAGGACCTGTTAAACAAGTGTCTGGCTATAGATCCCAGAGGGCGAGCCAATCTTTACCAAATCCGGCAGCACCCCTGGTTGAACTGAACTTGTGCTCGACACAAAGACAAAGACAATTATGTTTAGCATAGTTACAAAACTGCATTTTGGAATGACATCACTATGAAAGCAGATAATCGCGTCATATTGTGAGATGGGAGGTAWGCACAGGCTTGAGTTAGCTCTCATTGAGGAATGAGATAATGAACCAGTGTCAAAGGGATGAACAAAGAGGTGCTTTATAATCACTTGACATTATCAAGTTCATTGTCAYATGCTGATAAAAATAAACACTATTTTTGTGTGTAACATTAAGAATAAAGCAATKTATTCATTACAAATGTATCAAAATGACAAACAACCAGGTCGCAAGATATAAAAATGTCCAGTTTATATAAAACTTCATCAGAAATGCATACTCACTCCACATGAATATTCTCATCTTGGTTTTAAATTAATCTATAACAAACGTTGAATCTTTCCTAAATACAGCAAYAGAGATATTCTTTACACCCTTGTGCATCAGGCAACGTACAAAAACAGCATTTGTCATTTTGCAGTAAAAAAAATGGTTAATGGGCACAAATTTTAGAAGACTTGTAACTCAAATACAGAATCAGAAGTCGAAATATTCACAGTGCTGTCKTCACATCAGTGATGTGAATTGTAAACATTGTTGCATATCGGAACTCACCTCAGTAAATATACAGAAATACTTATGTGGGCAAAAAATTATTTCAAACATTTTTAATCCTCTAATCAGTTTTTTCTGACAAGCTCATCAGCTCAACCTTTCCAGGGTCAATCGTCCAGTGTACGTACAACATTAGCAAAAATAAGGCAGAAATCCTTTCCCCTGTTTTTTCTTATTTGACCACAGGGGAAAAGTTTGACAGATTAAATTGGAGTAAAGTTACATTTTTTTTATCTGATGAAATGAAGAAGAAGAACAGACAATGCAACAGCAGGGAACATTCACATTAAGGTACATATAAACATTTGTACATTCTGAACAAATATGGGAGGCTATGTTAGGTGATTTGGTGAATTAAGTCGTGACAGTTGAACGTAACTGCAGTAAGTTAGGTATGAAGCAAGTATGAACAAYTTCAGGGAACCAACAGGTCAGGTCAAATAAACAAGCTCTTCTTTTGAAAATAGAAAAGAATTGTTTGGCAGTATTAAAGTTAAGGAGCATGTACTGATAAGAGCCTTCGTAGTATAATTGTCAGTTGCCTAAAAATGTGATCTTTAAGTACTATTAATGAAGTACCAGTCATACACGGAGTAGGATGGTGGTGAAAATGCTGTGAGCAACCTTTTTTACCTCAAACAGATGTTATCAACGCGAACCTACGTAATTGTCATTAGCACTTTTTTATTATTAAAGGTCTTTAATGCGACATTAAGATGAAATTCAGCCCTCACAGTTCATTCTTCAGGGGGGCGCTGTGTGCCTGATTGTCATGTTATAAAAGCAAACACCCCCAAACAAACAAGCTTATCAGAAAAATAAATAATCCTTTCCTGGCTTCATTTTCTGGAACAAACATGTCGTTGGATATAATCTGAGGAGCTGCAGTCCATCACATTTGATGCAATACAGAATATATAACGTCTGACATAACAGTGAACAAAAACAAAAAAACAGCGAATGTTCTTTCACATGAGAAAGCTCCAGCGAGGTGTGAGTATCCAGGACCTCAGTGCTGTTGTCTGTTCATTAAACTGCTATTTATCTGAGTTAGATGTACCTGTGAAAGACAAAGGCAGAGAGCAACACAGCATTAGAGAATAGCCCTTCAAAATTTGTTGAAACAGTTTTAACTATAAAGTGAGCAGCTCACATTTTGACTGCACATAGATGATACAGTAGCAGGCAAGAAAAGGATGCAGGCAGGCGAGCAGTGACAGGTGGAAAAATATGGAAAGAGGTGAGAGGGTAGGCAGAGTAACGGACCAGGTTAAACTGCTAGAGCAGTGCGGAGTTGGAGTCAGAGTCTGAATCGTAGCCAGGGGTGAGACAGGGCTCACGGGTACAGACGGATTCCTGAGCCCGCCTGTACTCTTGGTACTCCTGGCGGAGAGCGTTGAAGCGCGCCTCGCTTAGGGAGCGGCTGAGCTGGCAGCGAGGTGGGTTGGAAACTGGCAGGCTGAGTGAGGGAGGTGGGCCTGGGGATGGCATCGGGAACAGGAAAATGCATGGATGGGCATGTCATGGGAAAAGCTCACAAATAATCACAGCACGAAGGTACAGGATGAACACATGCAGCACCGTCTCATAAAGCGTTACACTCACAATGACACATGCAACATCAAATACATGTTAAAAAAAATAATAAATGATCACCTTTCTGTTGCTGGTCCTGGACGCCACCTGCTTGATCATATCTGAGCTCGCCCCTTCCTCTCCGTGAGCTTATTTGTGACTGATCAAACCTCATGGCGTCCAGGACCTCAGAGTCCACGCAGGCATCAGCAGAGTCCCATTCATAACTTTCATCTACTGATGTGTTCCTTCTAATGAGATAGACAAAATAAAGAGGTCAGAAAACAGTCATGACAAAGAAGACACAAAAAACACTGAACTCATATGGAAACACAAATGAATCCCTCTGCCAAGAAGACACTCCAGTGTGTTGGTTGTTATTGTCCAGGTGTGGTGGCGACGTTTCACCTTTTCGCTCTCCTCTCTGGCAGATCCATCTCAGCTCTGTGCCGCTCACTCTCCTCCGTCGTCTCGGGGGAGCTGAGCAGTGTGGGAGTGATGGACAGGGAATGTTGGAAGAGACCAGCGCTGCCTCTACCACTGCTCTGACTGGCATAACTGGCCCTCCCGCCCTCTCGGCTCTCAGTCTCCCCTCCCCTACCCATCATTCTGTCTGACTGTCTGTAACTCTCTCCCTCCCTGGGCGGGAAGGGTGCGTAATAAGGGGAGGGCCAGCTAATGCCTCTGGGCAGGTAGGACCTTGGAGGGCCCCTCCTGGGGTCCATGGGTCTCATGTTTTCCCCTCTGGAGCCTGGCCAGTGTTGGTACTGCGGCATGGGAATGGAGGACGGCATGGGGACATATTTATGCTGGGCAGACCTCAGAGTTTCTTGGTAAGAAGGAGACCACCTGGAGGACTCAAGGAAAACAGTGGCTTGCCGTCTTGGATCTGAGGGTTCCAGCATTGGGGAGATTGAGGTGTTTCTGGGTGGGTACATAGGATTGAGGTAGCAGGGACTAGCTAATGATCTTTGTGTTTGATGAGGCCTCTCTAAGCTCCCTATGCTAGGCTGTCTGAACGGGACATACTCCCTCCATGAGGGGCCAGGCCTGGGAAGGGAAGATGGAGTGCGGCCCAAACTGAAGGACTTCACCCTGACATCTGGGTTTGGGAACTCATCCCAGTAACACCTCTCAGAAATATATGTCCTTGGGCTCTCAAAATGCTCCCACCTCTGTGAGCCTAAACTGATGGATTTCTTTAGGAAAGGACGAGGTGGTCCCATGCCTGAGAGCGTCCTACAAGGGCCAATACTTAAAGACTTCTTTAGAAATGGCACAGGGGCTTGACTTATCCGGGATGCAATGTTATTAGTCCTGCTGCCCTGAGAAGCTTGTCTTTGGGATTGCTCTGGTAAAGACTCACTACTGTCTGCAAAACTCCAGGAATGTTTTGACACTAAATCTGCCATTCCTTTTGCCGCACTGAGCAAGGTGTGAGCTGACCTGGATCCAAGTCTGGATTCAGGTCTGTCTGTGCTTTTATTCGCAGCTCGAATTTGTGTTTTCTCATCATATAGCTGTTTGCTTGTTTTCTCTGGACCATGTGATGAAGGTCTCATCTCATCAGGAAACCTTACTCTGTGTGAAGAATCTCTAGTTTCAACGTGGAGCGAGCGTTTATAGCCTTGTTTTCTACAGGCATCAATGCCGGGCTCTGCACCCACACCAGACTGAGTTCGTTCAAGGCAAACCTTTTGGTTTGAGCTCATTTCTTGGTTTTCTTGAACATGAACCTCCCAGTTTTTAGGAACTACGTCAGGCTTTGTCAGCAGAGATTTTTCTGATTTTAGATCTGAACTTTGTCCAGCAGTGTCTGTGATTTCAGCTTCTTCCACAGGCTCATCCACGCTCATTTCAATGAAACCTGGAAGGCTCAGGTACTCAAGAATTGCACTTGTCTGCAGTGGGGGAATTTTGGGAGATGGGGCAGCAGGTTTGACATTGAAGGACTCTGACATTCTAGGCACAGAAAATTGGGACTGGTCGCTCTCTACCTCTTCTACAAGGGTGAGTGTTGAAAGAGGGCTGGGACTATCAGAGAAAAGACATTTGTCACTCCTCCTGGAGCGTGTTCGGACACCCTCTCTTTCTAACTCTGAGTTAAACCCAGAGCTCCACCGGCCACGAGTCTCTCTGTCTTTGGCCTTTGCCCCAACGTCCTGGTGTTCGTAGGGTAATGTAGAATAACTCGAGGGACTGATATCCCTTTTAGCTGTGTAGTCTCTAGTTCTGTCGGGCTGATTATATTGTGGTGAAGCTGAACTTTGCAGCCTCTCACTGTCGCCTATAGGACCACTGGCAGCAGAATCCCAGGGCTGATTGCCTGCATCAGAATATGAATGCCTGGACTTTGAGGAGAAACCTCTGTCCTGCGTCCTTTCTTGTAAGCCCTGCTCAGTCACGGACTTTCTGCATATATCCAGCTCTCTCCGAGGACTCAGTGACCTGCCTCTGGTTGGTGTTTCTAAACCAGAAACAGGTGAGCTTTTGGAGGCAACATCAGGCGAAAGCATGGGGAGGGAGGTGTTCTGGGTGACAGGAGAGTATGATGAATCAACTGCCAGAGAGTCCTCAGAGATTTCCCTACATGTGCGAGGATGCTGTGACCTGGGCGACATGGTCTGTCGGGGGCTCTGTAAAGGAACAAGGTTGGTAAAAGAGGTAACAGGGCTGATGTCCCACTGTATGCGAGATGTAGGGAGCCGGTCCATGGGACTGCTGGTGTTCCCGAAGTAGCACGCCCTCCTATAGTCAGATACCCGACTTGTCTGACCAGAAGGCCTGTGTTTCTGTCTGATAGTTACATCTTGTGGCTTCCATACTGGCTCTTCCTCTGCATCCCTCTCTGTTGACTGTCGCTCATGTCTTCCCCGACTACTGCTTCTCTGATCGGCTG